GTGCAGGCCGCTTCTTAACTACCAGGGTTCCGAGCACTAACATGTTTCCCTCACTCAGGTCAATGGAGTATGGTTGAGTGGTCTCTGTTGGCCGCTCTCGTGTTGCGTGTGCGTGTTGTGTATTGGGCTGTTGTGTGTGTGGGGGGATGGATGTGTGTGTGGGGGGTCGGGTGTGTGGGGTGTGTGTGTGTGTGAGAGAGAGAGGAGGAGTAGGGTCATGTTTGGGGAGCGAAATGCATGCGAATGGGGGAAGAAAGACGGTGTTGAGTGATGTTGATAGTGAGGGGTATTGTTGCATGCGGGGGGAGAGGGGTGATGTTGCCAGGGGGAAGGGGGTGATGTTGCATGAGGCGGTATCATTAATGGGGGAAGTATGTAACATGAGGTAATTTCTCTGTTAGAACCAGCAAGTTGTTGTCTGGCTTGAAAATTAGAAATATACAGCAGGTACAAATATCTGCTGCTAATTAGTGAATGCTTGTGTTTTGTAGGAACATAAATTGGCAGATGGAACGGAAAACACGCTTTTCTCTCTCTCTCCTCTCTACTCTCTCTCTTCTCTTCTCTCTCTCTCTCTCTCTCTCTCTCTCTCTCTCTCTTCTCTCTCTCTCTCTTCTCTCTCTCGTTTCTCTTCTCTCTTTCTTCTCTTATCTATCTATCTATCTATCTAATCTCCGTCGTCTTTCTTCTTTCTCTTTCTTCCCCCGTTTCTCCATCTGTATCTCTTTTTCTCTCATTTTCTTTCTCTTCCTTAAGCTTACTCCCCTCCTTATCTCTTCTCTCTCTCTCTCTCTCCTCTCTCTATCTCTCTCTCTCTCTCTCTCTCTCTCTCTCTCTCTCTCTCTCTCTCTCTCTCTCTCTCTCTCTCTCTCTCTCTCTCTCCCTCACCACATCTCACACACACACCTCGCTGCAGTGTACTCCGGCATCTTGCATTAAATACGCCATGAAATGTAATCTCTTTTGTGTGTGGTCGTTATTCACTTTATCCAAAATTACCCCAAAGGTTTGTTTGTGTTCGTATATTTAGCCCCATTCCAGGTCAGATTTTCCCCCCAGAAGCTCCTGTGAGAATTCTCGTAAGTGGCGCTTATGTTAAGTAAGTCGAACCCTTCGTACGGGCTTATCAACCACTTCGCAATATTGCCCACAATTTTCTGTTTATTAATCCACCCGAGGTACTATAATTACGCCCTTGTTCGAGATGCTTCTAAACTGTTTATTTTTCTTGAGGAGGTCGAGAGAGAGAGAGAGAGTGAATGAGAGAGTCTGGTGCAGTGTTACCAGAACGGTCATTCGGGAAGCGAGGAACACCAATACTCCTTACCTGAGCGCTGTAAACTTTTTCTCGGAATTATCGTTATTTGGTGGATAGTGTATGAACGCACACTTCTGTATCACGAAGACATTTTTTCAAAGTTATGAGAGAGTTAACTTCGGTGCGTAAGTTTGGTTCCCTTGGCAACAGTGTGTGTGTGGGACCACCCAGGAGGGAGAGCCGCAGACGCCACGAGACCACCTCAGGCTATTTTATATGTTGCAAACGCAGTCTGTCGTGCAATATTCCACATTGTTTTTGCAAGAACACCTGGCCGAACACACGCAGGAACTACCCTGCGGAACTAGACGTATTTCAGGTGAGAATTTAGGCGCCGAGACAGTGGACATGTTTAACGACTCATAGTAACGACGCGCGCTCTTTCAATCTTTCCTTATCGCTCGCTTGTGAACTCGCGCACTCTTGTTTTTGGTAAATCCTTCCCTGGCAATTACGAGACCGTGTCTTATAACCGCTGTAGTGTTCTGTGTCCGTGAATTTTTTTTTTTTTTTTCAGTCTTCTCCTTCTATCTTTGTCTGTCTCGTATGCGCTGCATGTATCTCTTGCAAAGTGGAGCTTATCTCGGGTAACAGTGTCAACGTGGCATGCAGGGGGAGCCCCGCCGAGACGTTTCAGGCCGAAGATCCCAAACAGAAGCCCAACTTGAGTCACCTCATGAAACTCTAGGAAGGGGAAGCTCGTCTCTAAATGCATATCGCGCGAGTTATCGCCGTCTCGTGGCAGAATTAAGAGGGAAGGGCAAGACGGACGAGCTTTCAAGAGCATCGGCCGCCCGGCGATTGACGCGGCGCGAGACCTCCGTGGCGGCGGCGGCGGCGGTGGGCGTTTTTGACGAAGAGGTGGACAAAGGTGACTTTGTGCGGGCGGCCTCGTGGGCGTAGTTGGGCGGAGACGTCTGGCAAGGATGATGGGAGGGGGAGAGACGTCCTAGAACTAGACAGTGAAGAGTGCAGAAAGGAGGTGTGTGAGTGGAACTGACAAGAGGCATTAGTCACCGCGTTAAACATACGACACAGATGCGGAACTTCTTGCCCTCAGTTCGCGGGCGGCACAAGACGCCACGTGGGCGGTTAGACAGAAGATCAAGGATAACAACCTAATAACAACAGTAAACTGAAAAGAAAATACCGCTACCGTGATAATCAGATAATCTATCATAATGATATTTATAAACTTCTATAATTTGATAATCACAGTTGGATCATAGACAATAAATGAAATATTTCTGCTTACACTTAGCGTGGGGACGATAGACAGAAGTAACAGATTTTTTAAAAAAAATGTTGAACATAGATTCCACGATTGTTGGAAGTAAATAAGATAAAAGCAATTAATACTGGATGTACGCATGAAGCATGAATGTGTTTACGTTTGAATCCAGTAAAGTAGTACGCTGATCACTTGTTATTTTTAGATCTACGTTGATTTTTATTCATTTCGTTGCCGTTAGCACACTGTTGCCTCTCTCTCTCTCTCTCCACTTTCTCTCTCTCTCTCTCTCTTCTCTCTCTCTCTCCTCTCCTCTCTCTCTCTCTTCTTCTCTCTCTCTCTCTCTCCATCTCTCTCTCACTCTCTACTCTCCACCTCTCATCACTCTCACTCTCTCCTCTCACTCTCACTCTCACTCTCACTCCACTCTCACTCTCTCTCCTCACTCTCTCTCTCTCTCTCTCTCTCTCTATCTCTCTCTCTCTCTCCTCTCCTCTCCCTCTCCTCTCCCTCTCTCCCTCTCTCTCTCTCTCCCCTCTCTCTCCTCTCTCCTCTCCATCCTCCCTCCCTCTCTCACCTTCTCTCCTCTCCCTCTCCTCCCCTCCCTCTCCTCTCGCCCTCATCCTCTCACCTCCTCCCTCTCCCCTCTCTCTCTCGTCTTCCATCTCCCTCTCCCTCTCCCTCTCTCTCCCTCTCCCTCTCCACTCCCCTCTCCTCTCCACCTCTCCCCTCTCCCCCCTCTCCTCTCTCTCCCTCCTCCTCCCCCTCTCTCCCTCCTCTCTCCCTCCTCTCCCTCCCTCCCTCCTCCTCTCTCCATCCTCTATCCCTCCCTCCTCCTCCTCCTCTCCCTCATCTCCCCCTCTTCCTACTTACTCGCTCGCTTGCCTTGTTCAGCTTCGGATACGTAAACATTCTCGTTAATGTATAGTTTTAAAAGAAGGATCAGAGCACTTTTCAGTTTGTCCTTTTGCGTCGCTGGCAATTAGACATTTTTGGTACGCTGCACGCGTTTAATTAATATGTATCATCATTTCCAGGAGGACCACGAAAGGGAAAAATTTTTTTTTTTTTTTTTAATCCGCTAAAATAACCATGTTATTAATGACTACATTTTTACTATCCTCATCATCTACATTCTTTGTTCCCTTGTCCTTCTTTTTTTTCTTCTCTCTATCTCCATTTCCATCTCCAACATCCTAACTCCTCTCTCTTTCTCTCCTCTCCTCCCACTCTCTTCTCTCTCTCTCTCTCTCTCTCTCTCCTCTCTCTCTCCTCTTTCCTTCTCTCTCTCTCCTCTCTCTCTCTCCTCTCTCTGTCCCTCTCGCTCTCTCTCTCACTCTCATTCTCCTCTCTCTCTCTCTTCTCTCATTCTCTTCTCTCTCTCCTCTCTCTCTCCTCTCTCTCTCTCTCCTCTCTCTCTCTCTCATTCTCTCTCTCTCTCATTCTCTTTCTCTCTCTCTTCTTCTCTCTCTCTATTCTCTCTCTCTCTCTTCTCTCTAGGAGGGGATGGGGGGGGGAGGGTGTAAAGCACACCCCATTTTTGAGAGAACGTTACATCTGTTGAAATAATGTTTATGTTGGCGGGGGAAAAAAGGAGGAAATATTTGAAAACCAGAACAATTACAACTTTTAATGAGCTCACTGTTTAAGTCCAATGCAAGAATTTTTAACACGAGTTTTGCTTATTTTTTTAATCGAAATAAAAAAATATAAAAAAATCAACTTTGGCAGCTGGTTTATTGTTGCCATTTTTCATAGTTATTCTTCTCCCTTATTTTTGTAAAACGTTTTTTTTTTTCATTATTTAGACCAAGCTTTTGTAAGTGACTATCATTAGCAGATACGCTTTTGTTTTTATCCTGATTACTTTTTCCCCCTAGATTTGTTTCATAAAAGATGACGAAAAAAAATGAGTTACGAAAGAATGTATAATTTCCTGACGTTAATGATTCATGCCATGGGGGCGCGGATACACACACACACGCACATACATACATACATACATACAGACACGTAGATGAATAAAAAGGGTGAATTGTTTGCAATCCTCGTAATCCATTTTTATCCTTTATTTCTATTCGTATTAAGTCCGAATAGGCCTACATAATATTCATTTTAGTAGATTCAGTTATCTTTTTCTTTTTTTAGATAAAAGCTTTCCTTTATCGTGTATTTCTGATTCTGGATCACGTTTTAGGTATATCCTCGCAAACCCAAATAATCTATATAGCTAATTTTTCAAAATATGATGGTTCTTCATAAGCGAATAGACTGCAGGAGAAATATGAGAATATATATTGAATTTCTCAACTTTTTTTTTCTTAAATAGCTCGGCCATTTTCTTTTTTTTATATATAAGCAACTGAGTGAAGACAACAAAGATGAAAATAAAATCGATAAGCAAAATTGCATCAAGTCTTCGCGACCATTTTATCGCG